AATAAGTTCTGAACAAAATAACGCAGGGAAGGGAGAAGATTGAGTCTGGCAAAGCCGCTGTGAGGATATGACCTTTGAACAGATGGAAAGAAATTACAGAACAGCCAACCAGGCTTAGATACAGCAGAAGCAGAGGCCTTGTGTCCAGGGCAGAAAGGACATGTTTTGCTGGACCATGGCCCATACCTCAGTCAGTGCGGGGGCGGCTGTGTTTAGTGGTTATAGGTGTGGACTCTGAAGCCGGACTGCCTGCATTCCAAAACCGGCTGCCCACTGAAGTGACTTAGCGTTGGTGTGCCCAGTGGTCCGTCTGTGAAATGGGCATGATACCAGGCTCTGGCACGTAGTAGGTGCTCAGTAAATTTTAGCCAGCATTGTTAATTATTATTAAAGTCTTTGATTCATTCAAACCGCATTTATTATACACTAACTATATAGGTTCTGGAGCTTAAAAGAGTACCACAACCCAGTTCTTCCCCTTAAGGAGCTCGCCGACTAATCAGAGAGACATACAACGCAAAGAGACACGTGCAACGTGGTATAATCAATGCAGTGATACGGAAATATACAAAATGTGACACAGTGTCTGATTTAAAATGAGCACCAGTGGAATATCACCGTGGATGTATTTCCTCCCCCCCCCCACATGTGCAGCAGGTGAAATTTTTAAATACAGTGAACTCCATGAAAGAAGCTTCCCTGTCTTTCGTTTATCGCTACCTCCCCATCATCCGGTGTAGCCAGCCTATATGATAGTTGTGAAATATCATTGCAGAGACTAGATGATATGTGCAGAAGAAGGGTGAACTAATGGAATAGTAAAGATTAAGAACCCATCAGGAAGGGCAGCCCAGGTGGCTCAGCAGTGTAGCACCTGCCTTCAGCCCAGGGTGTGATCCTGGCGACCCAGGATTGAGTCTCATGTCGGGATCCCTGCATGGAGCCTGCTTCTCCCTCTGCCTGTCTGTCTGTCTCTCTCTCTCTGTCTGTCTCTCATGAATAAATAAATAAAATCTTAAAAAAAAAAATAACCCAGTAGGAGTAGTTCTGTATTTCCTACCCTTTGGCCACAGATGCTGTAGGAGCACCGGGTTAGTCTTGCGGATACTTACAGATGCTCCAAACACAGCAGAAAATCTGGGTTTCACGTTAAGAGTGTTCCTCAATTGTGAGCTCCCATCAGAATCATCTAGAGGACTGGCTGATCCAGTCTCAGTGCTCCCGAATAGAGAGGGCCTAAGAAATTGCAACTCTGCCAAGTTCCCAGGGGCCGTACTTTGAGAACCACTGCTCTCGCCCATCCTTACACGGTAGCATTCTTCCCCTGCTACCATCCAAAATGACAGAAAAGTGATGTGGAGAAGGAGAAAATCTCTTAAAACTGCGACCCAATATAAACTATGTTATGGAACAAAAAAAAATTTTTTTTTGAATTCTTAATATTGGCCTTTAAATCATTTGTAAGCACTCTTGTTTTTCTATTTTTTTTTTTAATGCCTGAAGATACTGTTTGTGCTTCAGCCATCCATCCACCTACTCTCCTCTTCCCTTAGCCTTGAGCTCCTACTGATACTTGATACTTCCTTAGCCTTGAGCTCCTACTGATACTATAAGGCCCAGACCAAATATTGCAGCATTTTAGGTTCCAGCCATCTGTTCAGTTCTTTCTCTCCCAGTGGAGAATTGGGTACAACTCTTCAGCGAGGAGAACTGCCAGTGACCTCCGATCGTATTTGGTTATTCACTCTATCGTTATTACAGATTTTAAATATGCATCCCTACTAAATGTGCTTTTGATCAATTATACTCATGTCTACTATATTACCTATGTTATAAAAATTAGAGGCTAAAGGTGAGAAATATATACCCATATACACATGTATATTCTTACAAAAGGCCTGTTCTCTTAACGTGTGCGTACAGAAACTATAATACTATCTTGCCACTCACCCATGGTTATGAATCCCAGCTTAGAGGCTCTGATCTAGGAACCCACCACACTGCTTATCGCAAGTTCAGTGTTTACTTAAAACCTATGCAACTAAAAGTAGAGAAGATTTTAATCCAGTGAACATTAGTGAAGCGTCTTGTCCTACAGAGAGATAACAATCATTCCATAAGGTCAGGTAGTGCTAAGGAAAGCAATGCAAGTGCCTAATGGTTTTCAGCCAATTTGTATCTTTATGTCACTCATCCCCTCTTCTACTGCTTGCGTGTCTGGCCCTCATACTTCACTCACGCTATTCTTCTGGTTCTGGAGTATAACTGTGCTGGCTTCCATAGAGTATTCTGGAGGAAGGGCTAAGAAGAATTAGTATTGAACTTTTATTTATGTTCTTTAGTTTTCTTGGGTACCATTGGTGCCTCTAACATATGGACACGTTCCACATAGACCTTGTGAGTCACCAGTGCAAACACACTTGCATTGACATAATAAGAATGCCTGCCTAATGGTGTTAATAATTTTTGGATTAGTGGTCCCTATGTCTGTATTGACACAGTTGCTCACAGCCACTCTTTGGAAAGCATTCTGTTTTCTTAACAAGATCCCAGTGTTAATGCTGCCAGTGGTAAACTCTCATAAACTCAGGATAGTCCTTAGTGGCATAAGAAACAAAAGCTAGACTTCTGCCTTTTCTTGTTGGGTTTCTTTTTCCTTATTTATTCCTTCACTCATCACCAGGCAAACACAAGCATTCTGCTTTTGTCACCTCCAGCTCACTGTTTGTGCTCACTTGCTCTCACATACTCAAGCTCTTATTGTCTGCTCCATTGTCCTCCCAGGGGACATTCTCCTGGCATCTGGGAACCAAGATGGCACATTTTGCCCAGTGTAGCTGAAAAGGGAGATGAGGCAGATGGGTGGTGTGGACGGTGAAGAAAGGATCTGCCGATCTCATGCTATCCCACCTAGGTTCTCACCACTGTAGAGTGGCCAGTTACTAGTCACATCTACAGCCTGTGCATGAGATGCTCCTAGATCCCATGTGATAGATTTAAGTCCTAGAAGCATTGAATACAGTGCACTTTGTGGGTCTTTGTCTTGTAAGTCCAGGATGACCCTTAGGCTCTTCCTTCCCCTTTGAAAATTCAGATTAAATTGTGTCTACCGTGACTTCCCGCTGCTTCATTGTCACCTCAAGAAGTTAATCCAGCTAGATAACAAATTTCCTTGTAGAATACACCATGAACTTTTGGTTTCCCAAAGCTCAATCCACCGAGTTGGTGTCCCATCATCATGAGGTTTGCTGTACCTACTTATATAGTAATTTATATCATCCTCTTTAAATCAAGTCATTTTTAAATTTAAGTCAAATGGACCTCATCCTAAGATATGATATATAATATCTTATATGATATGATATATATATATGATGAAGTTAAAATAAATCTGCCAGGTTTTTTTTTTTGAAGATTTTATTTATTTATTCATGAGAGACACACAGAGAGAGCAGAGACCTAGGCAGAGGGAGAAGCAGGCTCCTCGCGGAGCAGGAAGCCCAATGTGGAACTGGATCCCAGGACCCTGGGATCACGCCCTGAGCTGAAGGCAGAAGCTCAACCCCTGAGCCACCCAGCCTCCCCAGATCTGCCAGTTTTTAAAAAATATGCATTCTTGTTCCAACTGACATTTTAGGGGCCACCATTGAGTGCGTGCATGTCATATATTGGGATATTTTGCCAAGATTCCCTCTTTTCACTGAGGAGAAGGACCTGGACGGAATATGGCACTATGCCAAGTAGATTGAAACCCTGTTCCCATGGTATGTTTACCCTGGTTTCCTGGAAAAGCCCAAAACTACTACTTAATCTTCCTAAAAATTTAATTCAAGATCCTCCTCACTCATACATACATCTTGTACTTCCAGGTTCAGGGGTACGAGTCAGACTTGGAAGACGCCTCAGGCAGATGTAGAGTTTGGGCACAGTGAAGTTTTGACTGGTCCTGTTCACCCATTCATCAGCCTGTGTGCCAGGGTATTCCTGATTAGTGTAATACCTGGCAGGCATCAGTCTCTGATGAAATCCCTCACCAAATTTGTGCTCATGTGAAATCGGTGTTTGTTAAACAGAAAGAGGAAATGATCATTTCCCTGTGCTTGCTTCTTTCAGTCTTACCTGTCCTGTTATATTAAATCTTAAAAAGCCTTGCATAGGGGCGCCTGGGTGGCCCATCCAGTTAAGCCTCTGCCTTCAGCTCAGGTCATGATCCTGGGGTCCTGGGGTGGAGCCCCGCTTCAGGTTCATTGCTCATCAGGAAGCCTGCTTCTCTCTCTCCCTCTGCTCCTCCCCCCTCTGCTTGTGCTCTCTCACTTTCTCTCTCTCTATCTCAAATAAATAAAATCTTAAAAAAAAAAAAAAAGAAAGAAAATCCTTGCATATAATTCTTAGGTAATAGGGCAAACCAGCTTTTTTTTTTTTTTTTTTTTTTGAGTTTGCAGAGGCAGGACAGAGAACTCTAAGGGGACTTAGGACTTGAATTGTGGTCTGTGACCCAACACCATCAGCATACACACAAGCTTTGCAGACACACACAGTCCTGTGTCCCAACCCAGAACAACTGGAGTAGAACCTGCCTATAAAAAAGATCTCCCAGCGATTTATATCCAGTAAAATTTGAGAAGCATTATTGTCAGAATAGCAATGGGAAAGGAAAATTGTTGTTGTTTCTGTACCCTTACATACAAATACCGTCTTTTAAGCCCAGTAAGCAGTGCCTTTGAATCATTCTCCTGCCACATCCCATTTTTGCCATATTTGCATATACCTGTTAACTGCTTATGACTTAATTTTTTTGTTAAAACTGAGTGACTTAAATAGATTTTGTAAAAAAGCATAACACTGAGAAGTCACGAATCTGATGTGTTGGTCACATTTTTTTTTTCTAGTACACATGAACATGAATTCATAAGTACGACAGTGAGGCTATTTGAAGATCACTCAAACTCACCCCACACACTGCTTTTCATGGGCCATACCCTGAGGGCCGTTACAGAAGGGGAGCCCTGAATTTCTTACAAAATAATCTGTAACCCAACAGGGAGGGGGTGGGAACAAAACAAAACAAAACCCAGTGGAAGGAGTTAAAAGCTTTTACTTCAGATATAAAGTTAGTTAAGGTAGCCCTCACATCTTGAGGCACAATATTGAGAGCAGATAATAACGATAATCTCTATCATTGTTTAAAAGCACAAATCTGGCACTTAATAGACTAATTCACAGTCACTCCAATTGCAAGTTTTACTCATGAATATCATATCACAAGGGAATGTGAAATCCTCTAATTAAACATGATTTGAAAAGCAGCAGAAAATTGAGATGATGAGCGTTCTGGGGAAGGAGAGTCAAGGATTCACTGCATGAGAGAGTGAAAGAGAAGTGTGTGTGTGTGTGTGTGTGTGCGCGCGCGCGCGTGCACGCGCGCTTGTGTGCACGCATGTCCGCATGCGCCAGTTGGTAGAGACTTCATCTTCACTCACCCTAGGCTGGACTCTGTCATGGGCTTTCCTCAGACACCCTTCTCCTGGTGGTAAAATGATAGAACTGATGGCCAGAGTACTTTTGGAAAACTGATGCATAAACACGTAGGAGGGCATATTTCTGTAAGGAGCAAAAAGCAAAATGAAGGTAGTATGCTAGAAATGTGACATCTGAGCTGTCTCCCAGCTTTCAATGGCAAACAAGAAGCCTGCCTGCTTCTTGAAGTATTTTCAGTGAAAGTTAAAGGAGAAAGGTCATTTTTACAAAGCTACCAGGAAGAAGGATGCCATACTCACATCCTCATTTCCCCTGTTCCCACATATCATTTGTGCATTGGTAGGCAGGTGTAAGACCTTTTCCTCCTGATACTGCAATGTAACCCATGAAGAAACTTGACCTGTCATTTTATTTTCTGCAAGAGACTTTGACTTCCAGCTGGTTTGGAGGAGATACACAATAGTAGGAAAGACGTCAGAAGAATAAACTCTAAAATGGAAACTCGTGGTAGAAATATAAGTCATCATCTCTTTTGCTATTGTTCATCTGTATCGCTCCCTATTATAAGGTCCACTGTGATGGGAGTGCCAAAGCCAACTCATCTTCTTTGGTGTCCATGAGAATGAAGTATTATATATATCGTAACTGTATCAGTTTGTGAACATCTGTATAAAAAATCTGTAGTCACCTATCTTCTGATATCACTTCATTGCTAGAAATTGAATTCATACTCCCATCTTTCAACCTGAGAACTCCCCGATCTGGTATAGTGTAAGTGTAAAGTGGTAAAGTATCATTCCAAGTAGGGTGTGCTAGTAAAGTAGAAAGCAGGGGAATAGGGTAAAAACTACAAAGTCATGCTAGAGAAGGAGAGAAAGGGGGATCATTTCTGTGTAAGTTCTCACTAAAGAATTAAATAAGCTTTAAACAGTAGCTTTCATTGACACTCACGTGGTTATGATCACAGTTTAGCATAAGGCATTTTTGTATCAGGTAGCCGTGAAACTGTCAAGAGACCGTGTTTCCGGAAACCAGAGGTATCTGGAGTTGTTGCAGGTTTTAGCAGGGAGGGGGCAGTCTCTTGCCATCCAGCAAAAATCATGAGCTGTGACAGATCTGAGAGGGGAAGATTCTGTGACCAGTAGTGTTATGAGGTGGGCATGAGACCAAAGAATTGGAAAAAAGATAAGGAGAGATTTGAGCCATAGGGAGAAACCAAGGTAGTTTGGCTGAGAACTGGTCTTCACTGTTTGGATCCTGGGTACCTGTCTTAGGGTTAGCATTCCATTACTGTTGGCTGGCTGAATGAAAGGCAGAATGGTGGGAAAAAGAAAGATGACCAGTGTGGAGGAGGGAGACAGAACTGCTTCTAAGCAGTCAAAGGTGGTGGGAAGGGGATTAGTTGTACTTTTGGGTGTATTTATAGGGGGTGGGGAATGCTTTAGAAGGACAAAGCTTTCTGCTCCATGCAGCAGGAAGGATTCCCTTAGTTCTTACTGGAAGGCATAGACCTCCTTCATTCCTTCAACCAGTAATCACTGAGCACCTCCTCCTCATTCATATTGTCAGTAACAAGATGTGTCATTTTTCCCCACTCCTTATCCATGTGCAAGATGTAGCAAAAGTGAATTTATGTTTGGTTGGTTTTTGACAATGGTGCCAATTCATTTAGGATAGAATAGAATAATCTTCTCATCAGATGGTACTGGGACAACATGCAGAAAAATTAAGTTGGACCTCTTCCTCACACCATATACAGAAAATAACTCAAGATGACTGTGAGGACTAACACTCTCAGAAGAAAACACAGGAATAAGTCTTCATTATGTTTGATTAGCCAGTGGGTTATTAGATGTGACATTGGAATCACAAGGAACCACAGAAAAAATAGATAAATTGGACTTTGTCAAAATTAGAGACTTGTGCTTCAAAGCACACCATCAAGAAACTGAAAAGACAATGCACAAATGGAAGTAAATATTTCTAAATCATATATTATCTGATAAGAAATGAATGTGCAGAACGTATTTTTAAAAAACTCTTGCTGTTCAACAATAAAAAAACTAATTTTAAAAAAAATGCACAAAGAATTTAAATAGATGTTTCTCTAAAGATCTATACGTGGTCAGTAAGCTCAAGAAAAGATGCTCAACATCATTAAACAATAAATAAATACAAATCAGAAACACAAAAAGGTACCACTTTACATCCACCAACGTGGCGAAAATAAAGACATATAGCAGGTGTTGGCAAGTGTATGGAGAAATTGGAACCCTCAAACAATTCTGGTCAGAATATAAAGTAGGGAAGCTGCTTTCAAAACTGGTCTGGCATTTCTTCAAAATGTTAACCATAGAGTTACCATGTGACCTGCCAGTTCTCCTCTTAGATATGTGCCTCAAAGAAATGAGAACATAAATTCTCATGTATATGGACATGTATATGGACATGCATTCTCATACCATCACTATTCACAATGGCCAGAACATGGAAACAGCCCAAATGTCCATCGGTGGATAAATGAATTAAAAAAAAAAAAAAAACTGTCTCTATACATCTAGTGGAATACTCTTAAGCTGTAAAAAGAAAAAAAAAAAAAAAAAGAAAAGAAAGTACTGATACATGCTACAGTGGGGATAAGCTCCCAAAACATGCTAAGTGGAAGAAGGCAGACACAAAAAAAGCACATCTTGTATGATACTAGTTACATGAAATGTCCAGAATAAGCAGATTATCTAGAAACAGAAAGAAGACAGTGGTTGGAAGGAACTGAAGGTTGGGAAGAGATGAGAAGTGATTGTTTATGGGTAGAGGATTCATTTTTGGTGTGATAGAAATATTCTAAAATTATATGTGATGTGATTACACAGCTTTGAACATAATCAAAACCATTGACTTATACACGTGAAAAGAGTGAATCGTGTGGCGTATGAATCTCTCAATGGCGTTTAAAAAGAAAAGCATATTCCACCTTTTTGAGTGATTGGAGAATGACCAACAGTCTTTCATAACTCAGATTATGAAATGATATGCCGGTGAAATAATAGACAATTTATAATTTGAGGTTAATTCAGGGGGAGCAGTGGGGAGAGAAGCTATAAGTCTGATGGACACAGATGAAGGCTTTTGTTACAGATGAATCAGTAATTTTGTGAGGAAGCAAGCAGCACTCTTAGAAAAGAGAACACACACAAATTGGGGTCGACTCAGAAGACAACCATGAGAATTTGGGTCAGAGTTCAGGAAGAGCTGAGTGTGCCTTCAGGAGAAAGGAAAACTGCCTTTAACTTGGCAGGAAATGTCTTGGGACAGCAGGGTGTCTGTTGATGTCCTCTCCGTCAAAGATTGTCCTCCTCTTCCAGGGAAAATTAACTTTATGGGACTGAAAAGGATATAAAAGAGGAGAGACTGAAATGAGAGAGTGTTCTTAGTTGCAGCAGGTGGATTGAATGATTCCAGTTTCAAGTTGTCATTAAGAAGTGAACTTGGAAGGAAGTCGTGAGGAGTTAACCACTGAGAACCCGCAGCCATTATACCATCTCAGAGGCTAAAATCTGTATTGAAGTCACTATGGCTCTGGCTGATATACTTTGACATAAGAAGAGTAAATTTCCCTTCTTTTACCACTTGGCACATCCCAAAAGGCAGTCAGAAAATAAATGTCTATTCTGCTTTTCTGATGACCCAGAAACGCTCCCATTCAGAAGTATAGCTGATGTGCCATAGAGAGTGGCTGAAAGGTCAGAAGCGTGACTCAGCCACACACACCGTGGGCTCTGCTCTACCACTGTCAGGGCAAATGGCAGTCTCAAGGGATCCCTGGGTGGCGCAGCGGTTTGGCGCCTGCCTTTGGCCCAGGGCGCGATCCTGGAGACCCGGGATCGAGTCCCACATCGGGCTCCCAGTGCATGGAGCCTGCTTCTCCCTCTGCCTGTGTCTCTGCCTCTCTCTCTCTCACTGTGTGCCTATCCTAAATTAAAAAAAAAAAAATGGCAGTCTCAATATTGAGTCCTGAGTAGCCCTTGATTTTTTCATGTGTGCCTATACAGCAATATATATATTAATTAATAATTGCACAGCCAAACATTTCTACACTGTACAATATAACACCTTCCAAAGTGATATGGTAAAAATTCCATTTCTTCATCACCCCTGACAATTATTATGGTCCCTTTTATGTTTGTCCAGAGAGAGTCTATCAGTGCACCACCACCAACCTATTCCTTTTCCTTCCATAGCCAAGCACTTTATTTCAGATGACTGTATAATTTATCCAATTATAGTCCCTGGCTACGTAGGTCAGGGTGGCCCGAACCAGTGATCCTGTGAGCCAAGATGCATCAACGCCTTATTTTTTTTTTTATTCATGAGAAACACACACACACACACAGAGAGAGAGAGAGAGAGAGAGGCAGAGACACAGGCAGAAGGAGAAGCAGGCTCCATGCAGGGAGCCCAACATGGGACTCGATCCCAGGACTCCAGGATCATGCCCTGGGCCGAAGGCAGGCACTAAACCGCTGAGCCACTCAGGGATCCCCACATCGACGACTTATTAAAAATATTTGGATCCCCCTGAAGCCCTGTTATACCTAAGTTTACCAGGAGATTTGGGTAGCAATACAGGTTGAATGGGCTTCATCTTTTAGGAAATCAGGAGTGTGGATAAAAGAGGTAAAGATTTCAAAGCTTCCCGCTTGGAACCTGCACCTTCTCATGGTCTTCATTAACCAGCTCTACTTCGAATACACATCTGGTGGAATGCCAGTCTGGCTGTAAATTGCAGCATGCTCTCTTAGATGGGAATGTGGAACAGCCATCACTGTGCACCAGAGCGCCATTTCCTTTGTGGCCTGAATAATTGGACCTGTAAGATGCAAAAAATAAATAAAAGTATTTGATTATATATTAAACATGAAAAACGAGTAACAATCGCGTTTATGGTTTCCATTTCTGTAAACGAGTAATACATTAGAAGAAAAAAAATGTAGCGCAGTAATGTACTGGATGTTAACAGTGTTTTCTAGGGTGGGGTTATTGGTTATGAGATGAGGGTGGAGTGGCGTGGGGAATGGACTTTTCTTCAGTTGCCAGCTCAGAGTTAGTGTTATGTGAATTTATTAAAATAAGAGCATGTCTTGATTTTGGAGTAAATAAGGTTTTAACATAGAGTTAAGTTTTCAAGAGGTCTGAGTACCTAACTGCGTAGGTGTGTGAGGACCTGGTTGTTTTAGATGTCGGGTGTCCGTGGTTGTCTTCTTCCGGCCTTACTAAGCTGTGCTCAGTCCTTACTTTGCAATAAGGATGCCAAGTTGAACACAAAATGAATTCTTAGAGCAGCGTGGGTTTTATTCAGGCCACGGGGCCTTCACAAATCAGTTAACCAAAAGCAGAGAGATTGGGTAGGGGAGGGGATGGAGTCCATGTTAAATCATATATGTTTTATTTCTCATCCTAAATCTCTCTAGTGAACACACAGCATTTTCGGTCACACTGTTTGGAACACTTTCTAGCTAACAACAACAAAGCACCATCGAATAACCATTTGCAGTTTTTAACTAGTGGTATTAAGTTCCCATTCTAACTAGTTGAGGCATTTGGCTTCCAACCTAAGGAATCACACAAAGTGTGTATAATGGCTGCAAACATACTCGGCATGTAGCATCTGTCCAGAGCAACTCGATAGAATATTCATAGTGAATTTTAAAACTTCATACTCATTAATTGACTCATCCCGTTTCTCTGAATATGTCTTGTAAAAACCAGTTATATACTAGAATGCTTTACCTGGTAAATTTTATTTTTAACATTAAAAGTTTATTTTTAACATTATTCATAAACATATGAAACATGAAGGGAATCTCAAGGTCCAGTGTGGATGGTTAGACAAATTTTGGTATGTAACTGAAGCTAAGATGGTTTATGATAGGCTGTTAGCTTCAGTAAATAAAATTTTGAAGACTGTTGATAGCATGAGAAATTATTTAATAACAAAACTATGTTAAATATAAAAGGATGATATAAATCTTCACGCTTTAATTTGTCACAAGTGTGTATTATATATTTTTATATATATGTAAACCAAAGTGGGTAAGGAAACTTTTTTTTTTCTCTCTAAGCTATTGGTAGGAAAAGTTTTCTTTTTAAATGATTTCCTTCCCTCAGAAGAGCTGAGAAATCTAGTCCTTGGAGAAGGACTCCTTAATTTCAAATGTTGTCAGGAATTTTTTAAAATTCTGTTTTTGTACCATATCGTTTTTTTCCCAGTGTTATTGAGATATAATTGTCATACAGCATTGTATAAGTTGTACAGCATAATGACTTGATTTACTTGTGTCATGACATGATTACCAAAATAGTTTCCCTAGCATCCATCACCTTATGTAATTGGTTTTAGTCTTTAAAAAATCTGAAAATGAACTTAGATTGGCAGTAATTCTTTCCTTTGGTCTGGTGGCCTTTTGCCCTCTTCAACTGCGTAGAGAATATCCTTTTGTCATTGGGCTTTTATAAGTCTCACTACAGAGCTACCTTCGTTCACTCATGTCATTCTTTTCTCTCATGGGGACACCTTTATGAGTTAGATTTCTGTAATTTTTTTTCCCTGGTTCCCAGATGTATTTTCTGTTTTAAGGCAGAGAAGCTTGTCATTATTTTCAAGTTATATTAAATTTCCAGCATAATTATTTAAAGGCCATAGAGAGACCTATTGATCCTTGATAAGGTGTAGTTCTGCGCACATGTGTGTTTACTCCTACTGCTCCTTAGTTTAAGTGTTCATAATATGCCCACTGTGGACTCATTATGTTATAAGTCAGGGACAAGTGGCATTTGTGTATGTCTGCTCTGTGAATGTGAATCGATAGATGATATATGAATACACATCCTGGTGGTGATATAAAATATAAGCCGTACGTGCCTGGGTGTGCGTGCGTGTGTACATGTGTGTGTGTGTGTAGTCATGATTGAAGTTCAAAGTCATGGAGAAGCAGTGGAGTAAGTTGCAAAATAGCCTTTTCCTTGAAGGGAATGTGCCTGAGTACAAAACAGAACTCCCTGTGTTAGTTTTACATTTCTATTTGATGGAATCTAAGGTTATGGAAACGACTGTAAAAATAATTTGTCTGAAAGAAGTCTGGATGCAGAAATCTAATAGAGAAAATATTTGAGAATATGGTTCATCAGCGAGTGCAACTGATACACTTCCCCAAGCACCACCTGGCGTGGATCAAAGCATCCCATGACTTGGATCCTTGTGGTCAAATCATTATGTATTGATTGGAACCCCACTGGAGGATTAACCCCTCGTGTTCATGCCAAGTTTTTTCTCACTCTTGGTGTCTGTAATCTTAGAGATATAATCCTTCTGCTGTTATTAGTGTCTTTTTAAAACTAATCATCTACTTGGGTATATTCGTCTTTCTAAATTATTTTATTTTAAATTATTTAATTGCTCTGTTCTTTGCTTGATAAAATTATTTTATGAAAAGATCATACAATTATGGGGAAGCAGTTTTTTGGTGGAAGGAAGGAGGAAAGTGTATAATATTCTGGGTAGAAAACAGCAAGAGAATCTCAAAATCAAGTACAGATTTTATCATTTTCATTATGTAGATTAAATGATAAATTCTAGCTTTTTAAAGAATCCTTCACAGTCTCAGTAGAGAGCTTTGCCTCTAACAAAAGCCTGTCAAACACTTTTCATACATGGTGGTTACATTTCTAACATTGGACTATTCACATTTTGGAATTTAACTCTTGCTTTTAAATAACAATTCAGAATTAATTAGTAAATTCATGGGAGAAAGAAACCCTCAAGTCCTCCATGTCCACTTTCAGCCATATGGGTTCCTCTTCCCTTTTAAGTCTGGTGGGATGGTTCTTGGCAACATATTCATTCTCTTGTCCTTTGTGTGTGTGTGTGTGTGTTTTTTTTTTTCAGTTTGTCCCATGAGGAGCATCCCCATAGCCATCCTCTCTATGGACATGGTGTATGCAAGTGGCCAGGCTGTGAAGCAGTGTGCGAAGATTTCCAATCATTTCTAAAGTAAGAATGATTTTATATTGCTTTTTTCTTTTACATAGCCATCACCTCCCACTGTTCATGCTTTTCCTCATAAAATGCCCTTTTGATGGAGGGTTTCATACCACCATTTTGAGAATGGACTCTAAATCATAAGGTCTAGCACATTGTCATAGGAATAGTTACAGAATCTGTGGAGGGTTGAGTGTAAAAGGCAAAAGAGGTATAACCAAGGGCAGTTTTGACGCTCTTCATAAGAGTCTGTGTTTACCCATTTTCTCAGAATGACAGTGATTAAATAAAAATTCTGCCAATATTAAATTTGTAATAATTTAGTTTTCACTTTTATTCTTGTGTCTGCATACTGAATCACTGCCCTACTAACTCTAATTCTTTAAAACTGCTGTCAGCTACTGGCCAGTTGTAGGCTGGTGATTGATCCTCTTTGTTTTTATACCAGTGACTTTATAATCCTAAGAAATGTATGCCAAGGAAATGCTACCACCTTGCTTCTTAGTGTTCCGTATTGGTGTCAGCTTTAGTTCAGATTCTTGTCCTTATGGGGAGCATGGAGTAACTTTAATTTCTACAATTAAACTATGACTAAAACTTAGGTTATCCCATTTGAATCTGTATCACTGTTAAAGTATCTCTGTAAATAAATGGCACGTTAATCTTCTCATAGTTGAAGTAAAATGTTCTGTACTACATTTTACTATTTCTCTTTCTTACAGTAACTTGTCCTTTAATAAAATTTAGACCAAACCACCCTGTGTTATTGACCCCCCCATAAATTTATTGATAGTATCATTGAATCATTGACAGACTGAATATAATAATACATTATATTTAGTGTATTTACATATGCAGTAATCCAGCATATGCACATGTATCACTCCTATAAAGGAGTGATCTGGCTTCGTGATGTCTTACACTTGGGTGTTGGGGGGGGGGTCTTTCCTTTTGTCTTTTCTCTCTCATTTAAGCCTCTAGAAAAAGAAGCAGGCTGATACATGTGCAGGTCTGGTTTTTGTGTGGTCTTTACATTGTTAAAGCAATCTGTATATTTAGCTTTATGAATCTGGATACAAATAGTGTACAAACCCACCATTAAAGGTACATCCAGTGTAACCTGAAAGGAGCCTTGGTGAATATGATTTTGTAATTAATGAAGCCTATGAATCTGTTTCAGAACTTCCCAGCTTTCATATTTTAATTGAAGAACATTAGGTGGTCATTAGAAACTTAAGGACTTAAATTTTTTTTTTAAAAGACATGCCTGAAATTTGTTTCTAAATATCAGCAATCAAGAGCAGCAATGCTTTAAAGTAAGCAAAAGCCCTTTACAGTTATTATGATTCAAGTTAGTGTTATTGGGCTTTGTTCTCTTATAAAATCATTGATTATAAATCACTGTTTTGTTATTGCTTAATTGCATTTAGATAATGAGAGAAAAAGACCTCTTTCAAATTCTGATTTCTCTGACTGCTCCAGTGCTAGCTTTGATGAATGTGTTGGTGCTAATTTCACTCATCTATAGAATGATAACCATCTGCAAATAAGATTTTTTTCATAAAGTGTTTAGAAATATACAATTGCTGTGAACATTCTCATTGTATCAGTTTTACAGTCATTGAGGGAAATGGACAGTTTTCCAATATGATCCACTTAAAAAATGTTAATAACCAAAATGTTTTCACCTTTATCCTCTAATCAGAAGTCTGTTTATTATGTAAACTGACAAAATTAGGTGATATAAAGATACAGATATATACAATGTATATATAGTATATATGATTTTTATTATACATGATGTATTTTTATTATATATTACATATATCTTT